TGCTCATTCTTTGATTTCACATGTAAGTGAAATCACACGGTGTTATTCTTTCTCTGTCTGAGTTGTTTCACTCAGCATAATAACCTCTAGGTCCACCCATGTTGTTGCAAATGGCAGGATTTCATTTTTTCTTATGATTGACCAATATTCCATTGTGTATATGTACCACATCTTCTTTATCCATTCCTCTATCAATGGGCACTAAGGTTGGGTCCATATCTTGCCTATTGTAAATGATGCCGCAATAACATATATCTTTTCTGAAAGTTCAGTTAATTTTTTTTCTGGATAAATAACAAGAAGTTGACTTATTTTCAAAATTTTGATTATCTACCACACTACTTTCCATAGTGACTGTACCAATTTACATTCCTTACTAACAGTGCACAAGGGTTTCCTTTTTTCTGTATCCTCACCAACACTTGTTATTTCCTTATGAAATATTTGTTTTTTAAACAAATGATTATATGGCAACATAAATACATACTCATATAAAATAACTATTTCCTAAATAAAATTTTGCAAAACAAAACACATTTAGGGAGAGCAATGTCATTATTTTTCATTTTTTGCATCTCTAATGTCTGGCAAGATGAAGATGACTGACTCCTCATATCTGATTTGCATTCAATCTGTGGAAATATGTTGTTTCAAAGGCACTTTTTGATTTAGTCATTATTCATTGCCTAGCACCTGCCACAAGGCCAAGTGCATAGTAAATTCAGTAACGCTGTTTGAATGAGTGACTAATTCCCAGCCCTTTCCCTTGGAAAAATGCCTGTAAGCTCCAGATTAGTTTATGAAATTCTGTTTGAACTTCACAGTGGATATGGCCTTCCCAGAAGCAGAGACACACTCTCGATGCATTTGTGGTCAGCACCTTGGGCATCACCAAGGAGCTTGGGAGAAAGGCTGAAACTCAGACTTCACCCCAGATCTAGGGGATCAGAATCAGCATTTTTTAAACTGAGGTGCATGCAATAAAATGCACAAATCAACACACAGCTCAATGCACTTTGACATGTGTATACATTCACGTGACAGTCACCTAGATCAAAATGTCAAATATTTGCAGTACTTTTTGCCCCTCACCTATTTCATGCCCTCCTTCCCCAGTGGTAACCACAAGTCTGTTCTCTGTGTTTATGAGTCTATTTCAGTTTTGTTTGTACAGTTGCTTTATTTTTTAGAATCCACATATATGTGAAATAATATGGTATATGTCTTTCTCTGTCTGACATAGTTCACTTAGCAAAATACCCACTAGATACATCCATGTTGCTGCAAATGGCAAGATTTCACTTTCTGCTATGGCTAGTTAAATTCCCTCGTGTATATGTACCACCTGTAACTCTAGGGGAAAATAACTTTCCAACTCGGGGCAATACCTTTAAAACTGAAATCAGTCAAAGGGAGAAATAAAGTCAGAGAAACCTGTTTATTGCTTACAAGCAGTTGTCCACTTTTGCTCGCCTGTGTCTCTTGCGACCTGGCTGCAAAAAGGGGCCCCACCCAACCTCTCGGGCCCAGATATGCCCTCCCTCCCCCTTGCAATTACCTCTTGATATGGATGGCGATGGGCTACTGCTCTCCACCCCTTGGAAACACCTATTGATATGGAGATGCTCTAGGGCCAAGCGAGAGATTCTGGAAATTTTGCAAATTTACCCACACACCTCTTTGTCCATTCATGTATGTTTCCATATTACGGCTATTGAAAACTATTCTGTGATGAACATAGGAAAGCTTATTATCTTTTTGGATTAGTAATTTTATTTTATTTGGGGAAATTCCCAGAAGCGAAATTGCTGGTCCCACGGTATTTCTTTTTTTAGTGTTTTGAGGAACCTCCACACTGCTTTTCCACACTGCACCAGTTTGCCGTCCACCTGCAGGGTACATGGTTCCCTTTTCTCCACATCCTCCTCCTTCTGGGAGGGGATAGAATGGGAAGACGAGCCAGCGGGAGCTGGAGCCAATCACCACCCAAGGAGGAAGGGCCAGCTGCTGGAAGGACGGTCCCAGGAGCAGAAGTGCAGGAAGAAACAGGCCCCTCCTCCGCCCACCCGCTGGAGGTGTCTGGCAGAGGGTCCTTTGCAGAGAATTAAACCAGCAGCACAGACAGGAGTATAAAAGCGCAGCTTTAGAACTGGAGTCAAGAGTTCAATAACCATGCCATGGTTTTATATCATTTTGACCCAATATAGAGATTGAAATAATGTAAACTTACAGCAATTTCTCAGTATCTTCGGAAATAATTTTTACATCTAAAATTTTTATAGTTTTCAACTGGATGTATAGAAATATCACATGAATTAACATGTATTTATGATCCAAATAATTGCCAAGCTTCCATGACTCAGCCACAAAAAGTCTTACAAAAATTATTCACTGTACATAAAACAGCATCTAAACATTTATCTTTTTGCTTAGAAATTGCCTCATTTAAGAAAACCAGGCTAATTTATTACAAAGAAATTAGTTCTTTATACACTAAATTCGAAATAACATATAATCTCTGTTATTTTTCAGAAATCTAGCTCCTCACAGGGGAAAGTGGTGAGTTGATAAACTATGTCAAACCGCCTACCTAAAAAGGAGGGGTAATTTGAAATAATCTGGAGAAAATGAGTCCAATTACCGACATACTCGCTTCACTGGGCTGTTATCACACTTTCAGAAAGAACTCTTGCGCTACTTCCCCTTTTTATTTTATTTGTGTTTCCTATTTCAAAATGCCTAAACCTAACAGGAGTGTCATGTCATGTTTTAGTAATGTTTGTGATTATACAAATTATTATTATTTATTGGTTCTCTCCCCCGGTCTTCCTTCACTGGCCTGGGGCGCCCATGCCCGCTGGCTACCCCTCCTCCTCACCTAAACAGACACGACGGCGGCTGCGGGCTCACAGCTGCGCTCCGCTCTGCAGAATCGCCCCTGGACCAGCCCGAGTAAGCATCTGAGGGGGATGGACTTACAATCCTCCCCCTCACCTCCAACAGTCGCTCAGCCACGCAGCCTGCAGCCAATGATGGCTTGAAACCGGGCTCTGAGTTTGGGTGACGTGAATCCATTGTCTTGCCTTATCACGACTTGCAGCCACTGGTAAATGTCATGTTCTAGACCTACCCAGTGATGGGCTCACACTGCCTGGTAGCAAAGGCACGTTCTTGCTTAGCCCTTCCCACTTCCATTTCCTGCGCCCTTTCTTTCCAAAGCATTATTGCTCAGAGCACCATCTTTATAAATCACTTGAAGGAGAGTCCCCATCACAGGGGTTCATTCTAGAGAACATGGCTGAGCTATTAAAGCATTTCCTACAAAATCCCTTCTTGTTTTGAGAAGTGATTGACAACATGCATGTCCAGAAGCTTAATTACCTTATCTTGCAGCTGGTATCAGTAGTTAAAAGTTTAGAATTTGCTATAATAGCTTGGTGAGTTCCCATGAAAACTGAAACCATACCAGAAACCTTACCCTGACCCTGGCCCCTCACCCTAACTCCTCTAAAGCATTTATCCTTCTCCAGAGCTTTCCAGTTTCATATACCAGGCTTCTTACCCTAAATGAGACTCTGCCTAAACCTGGTATTATCAACTGAAATGTTTTGAACAATAGTCCTAATGAATCAGAGAACTAAATCACAGTTATTATTTAGACAGAGACAAATAAAACCTGCTTATCATAAACTAATAGGAAGAAACAAAAACCACCAACACAAGAAACACTGAAAAAATTTCCTATTAAAAAAAAGGCATGTCCCAAAACAAATTAATCTCCCTGAGATGCAAATATTTATCTTAGCAGATATGTAATTTAACAAAAAACGTCTTTTTATTTTATGCAGATAGGAGGGAGCCAATTGTTGCACAGCTGAGTCAGAGAACATTAGACAAGCGAGCTTGACTTCAACTGGGGCCAAAAAATAAAATTCTGCCCAGATATTAAAAAATATGGTTTTGGATATATTTTAAATTTCCACAATAAGCACCGCTGGTGAAATAAGTGCAAGGAACTATTGCAATTATAACCTTCAATACTGATTAAGAGGCGGAACCTACAGTGGAAGAGCTGTGGTCAACCAGCAATGAATTGTTTGGGTCAAAGGCTCATAAATTCAACCCCAGAAATAATCCTCAAGCTTTTTAAAAAACATTTTACCACCAAACATCTTGCATTTCAAATCATGGAAATTAAAACTCATGATGATCTAGCTGCCCTTCCATTTCATGCAAAATCTGTAAATACAGTGCAAAACGGTTGGGAAAATCCAAAAACAATTCTTAAGAATTGTGAATAAAGACATGCTGTGGACACCCAAAATAATCCTGTAACTACTAAAAAAATAACAGGCTGCCTTCTGAACAGCCATTTCCTTTGCCCTTAAGACAGAGCAGAGAGCAGACCCAGAGAAGAGTCTGATTAGTGTTGCTTTGTATTTTACTTCAAGATAAGACAAATATTCATGCAATAGCTAAGTATTTAAAGAGGGGATGTTGCTAAAGTGGCCTCTTAATGCTAAATATCTCAAAGCAGAAAAAAGGAATCACATTAGGCATGAAAATCTGTGGGGTATTTTTTCCAACTGGGTACATTTCAGTAGCTGAATACTGTAAGTGATAAGCTAAGATATCCAGATAAAAGTAACAGGATACAGTGAAATAATAGACCAGAGCCTGTATTAAAATACTGTTTAGCATTACACTCATTAGAGGGAAGATATTCATTAAATATTCCTTAGCAAGCTTTGTTAAGGTGATGTTCACAACATGAAGGAAACAAAATTGTAACAAATGAAAAGCTCTAAAAGACAGAGATCTCTGAAATAAAAGTGTTTATTGAGACTTCACAGGTGCAGCCAAACAAAGGGCTGAGTCTCAGGACAGGAAGTTTCTGCTTCACCAACAGCAAGGCCAGTTGACAGAAACAGCCTCTGCCCACCAGACTCAAGAAACAGGGCACGTTTATGAGGGGTCTGAAGAAAGAAAGTTCTCTAAATTCACACTGGCTGCAGCCGAGGAAGGTGGGCTAACGCGAAGTGGAGAAAGCCTGGGTGTAGGTGGTTGGCCCCCAGACGGGGCTCGCGGACTGGTTGCTGATTGCGGTCGGGCACAGTCACATGCCAGGGAGGTCTGGCGCTCCGGGGACCTTCGGGGTGGTCCCTGAAATAACTTCATCCAGGAACATGGGGTGTTTGGACTGTTTACCATCTCGTCTCTCTCCCTCATTCTTATGTCACTTAATTTAGGACACTTAAAAATTTTCCCTTATCAATTGTGAGGAAAGTGCATTCTGTGGAGCTGTCTGTTGGGAAAATTTAAAATGGGATCGTCCCCGTCACGAGAGTGCGATTAATTTTCACTGATGTGCTAAACCGCCACTCGTAGATGGAGCCCCTGTATTCGTAATGCTCTCACTAGCATTGACCTAAGCAGAATAGTTTAACATCATTTGTGTTTATGTGTGTGTGTGTGGGGGGGCAGAGTGAGTGAGGAGAGGAAATGTAGGTTTCCCCAACGCGGAAGGATGTTTGGTATTGCTGTTTTGTAAAACATTATGTCACAGACATGGAAAATGAATTTTAGAAGTACACAATTTTTTTGTTGAAGAATTTACATATAGAAACTAACTCAGTAATTCGATCAAATCTTTTACGGAGTGTCTGGTGTGATACCAGTGTTGTTCGGAGCCAGGGCCCCTGGGCTGCTCTCCTCGGGCCTCCACAGCAGCTCGAGGAGTTGCACCTGGGATACTGAGCACAGAGCCCCCGTGTACTGCACGGAGCCATTCTACAGCTCCCGCCCATGTCCATGCACCTCCCTCTCCCCTTTCTTAAATATGGATTTGATGGCATTTATCTATGTGCATAGATTCCGAGTTGGGGCTTTGTGGGCAAAATTGCAGTATTTCCAGAACCTCTCACCTGGCCCTGTGCATCTCCATATCAACAGGTGTTACCAAGGTTGGAGAGAAGTAGCCCATCTCCAAACAAATAGGTGATTACAAGGGTCAGGAGACTGAGGTTATAACTGGATCTGAGAAGTTTGGTGGGGTCCCTTTTTGCAACCAGTTTGTGAGAGACATGGGTGGGCAGAAGTGGAGGACTGTTTGTAAGCAATAAATGGGTTTCTCATACTTTATTTCTCCCTTTGGCTGATTTTAGTTTCGAAGGTATTTTGCCCTGGGCTGGGAGAATATTTTTCCCCTGGAGTTACAGGCTTCTATGCCATAATAGGTACCTCTAGAAATTTGGAATCAATATTTATGAGGATATCAAATAAAGCGACAAGTAAATATACATTAGCAAGATGAAATTGAGCACTGAATGCAACACGTGGAGAGGCTGAGGAAGCAACATATAAACTTACCGTATGATCGAAGGGAAATGAAAACATGTCCATACAAGAACATGTACCTGTAAATCATGGAGAAGTTTCGGACACCAGCCAAAACCTAGACACAATGTATCATGTCCAAATTGGTGAATGGGTAACCCAAACATAGTCCCTTCACACAAGGGAATATGGTTCACCAGTCAAACAATAAATGTACATTTTACTTGGTGAACCTCATAGGCAGTATTCTAGGCCTAAGAAACCATGGGGTTTGTACAATATGAAATGACAAGAAAGGCCAATTTGTAGACTCACTGTTTGCCTACCTAGGGATGGCACGTCACTGCAGAATAAACTGACAAAGACATGAGAGATCTTTCCAGATGATGGCAATACTCTAAAACTGGAGAGTGGTCATGATTGCACAAGTCCATAAATTTACTAGAAATAAAATAATTATATTTACAATGAGGGCATTTTTTAGTATGCAGATCAGACTCAATAAGGAATTATGTAAAAAATAACCTCAATAAAACTGAGTATTCCAGCAGTGTCAGCTGTATGCCAGTGGGGTGTGTAATGTTCTCAGTCTGTTTAAGGCAAAAAGCTTGACAGTTAACCTTAGCAGGATGCGTAGAAGTAAAGCTTTCAAAAAGGTCTTGTTTTCAAAACTTATATTTTTTCTTTCAAAGTCTTTTCACACTTTGTTATTTATGTACACATTTTTTTCTTGTGATGAGAACTTCTTTTTTAATTGAAGTATTGTTGATATACAATCTTATATTGATTTCAAGTACACAACAGAGTGAGTGGTTCAACAGTTACACACATGTCCTGACGTGAAGCCTAGGGGGAAAATTCCCCAGGTTCCCAGCCTCCCTCTAGGTTCCCTACTGGAATCGATAGATAAGGGGAGGTCTTAGGAGAAATTTGATTTATAGGCTCCCATTTCCTGTGTGACAAAGAGAGAGAGTACAGAGAGGAACACTGTTTGGAATTGAGACACAGCAAATTACACACACACACACACACACACACACACACACACACACACACACACACACCTCATCCATGAGCTGTGCCTTTGCTTAGGAAACACCAAGACGAGATAAACAAGAACTTAACCACTGAAACTGTTTAAATAAAGGAAAAAAGAGACATACACCAGGAATTAGTATATTCTGCTAATTTTGTAATGGCTCATGATTATAATCCTGAATGATAAAAAAGCATGGGGATATTCCGCCCGTGATCTGTGACACTGCTGTACCTTTTCAATTGCCAGGAACCGAAAACTCAGAACCTGGGAGAGTTCATTTGTGATTGCATTCCTTTTTCAAAATCATGACATTTTCTTTTCTTGCTTAGAGGAAGTTGGAAGATTTTTTTCTTGTTTCTTCCTGTTTCTTTTCCTTTCTTTTTAAAATTTTATGCAATCAAAATTAACCAAAAAAATTGATAAACAACAAAAGAACAAACGAAAGTTGCAGCAGGTAAATCTTCCCTTGCAACTTATGATTCCTTCCTGTTGGTGGGGGTGGGCCGCTGTCAACACTACCGCCGCGGCCCCTCTCCAGGCAGTCGGGAGGGTCCCAGCCCCCCTTGCAGTGGCAGTGCCCTCTGTTGTTGCAGACGCCCCGCATACGGCAGGTCTCTGGTGAACAGCCACGTGCTGGAACTGACATAGGGACGCACCTCCTTCGGAGGCAGATACGCCCTGCCCCGCACTCTGTACCGTCCTTCACGTCACCAGCGTCAGGGGTGGTCATCCCGAAGTGGTAGTCTGCACCCCAGCACGTGACGCCGTTGACGCGCGTGGAATGCACAGTGGAGTGGTCCCTCAGGAGCGGGATTCTGGCCACGTCCGCACACTGAACCCGCCCACACAGAACATCTGACGTGTTGCACGGGACATACCCAGAGCCCCTGAAACCACAGTGGCCAAAGCGGTCCCCACGGGTGTTCAGTGCCGCATAGCAAATCTCACTGGCGCTCTTGGCCTCTCTGCCAAAAATCCTCCTGCACTGCTCGTCACGGTTATTGCATCTCCTCCCGTAGCAGAGGCCGGCGTCCATGCACGGCACCCCGTCCTGCACGTGCACATCTTCAGGGCACTGATGGGACGTCCCATTGCACCACTCCGGAAGGTCACACTCATTTACCTGTCCTCTGCACACGCTGCCTGAGGGCAGGATCTGGCAGTCTTTGCAGCAACGCCCAAAAGCGCAGGTGGCCCCAGGCATCAGAGTGCAGTTGGACTGACAACACGGATCTTTTGTACACTGTTGTAAGGGGCCACAGTCACACTCCTCTCCATCTTCAACCACACTGTTCCCACAGTGTGCAAGTGTGAAGATATTCTCTAGATTTGGCGGACTATGCAAACACGTGGTTTTTGCAATGGTGCTCCACAGAGAGCCATAACTGCAGTTGCTGAACCTAGTTGTTGATGATTTGGTTGCAAACATCATGCATGTTTTTCTCCCACATTTACACGTTTTGTCATCATGCGGCATACCCAAATTATGACCGATCTCATGTGATACAATAAATGCAAAGTCATAAAAATTGTCATTCATGAAACTAGCAACTCCACAATTATAATTTGGATTACATACTGTTCCTACATAGGCTAAGCCAACTTGAATGCCATATGCTTTCTTTACAAAAACATGTGCAATATCATGGGGCAAGCGGGTATTAAAGCTGCCTTTCTTCCATCGGCAAAATCCTGACAGGAGGCTACCCATGTTATCCACTGGAATGGGGTTTCGATCCGTCCACACCTCAATTCCCATTAAGACCACATCGATATCCAGTGAACTCAGATAGCTTCCTATGTAATTGACGACAAGGTACACTTCTTTCTGCACGACTGAGATGTTGCTCATGGAATGAACATACCTATTGTTGTCTACCACCACCGCCAGTTCAAGGAACCGCCTGTGGGTCCACCAGCCCTCATACCCACTCTGCGTCAGCGTGGAATCACTGCTCTCTTGAATCTCCAGCTGTCGTGCTATTTCTTCATCCGTTAATCCGCATCTCGTGGGTGGGGACTGTGCCTCCTCACCGTCCATCTTATATATCAGATGCTCAAATGTGGTGGAAAGCCTTTTAGGCTCAATTGCATAAGCCATGTCGTTTGTGTGTAATATTCCCTGAAAACCCCCAAAACAAGTGCTGAGGACAACCAGGGAATCCGCATCCCCTTCCACGTACCCGTGATAGTAGCAGTCGTTCTGGACAAAGAGCTGATCCCCCACGAGTGCACCTTGGGCTGTGTACGTGAACACCGGCAGGTGTCTGGACAGCAAGAACCTCTTGACCTGCATGTGGACAATGCGTCTCTGGCCCCCAAAATGCAGGCTGTAGGACACCCAGCCTGGAAGCTGCATGCCGCTGTTATGTCTCAAAGGAATCACCACCTCTGGGGGCCCATGGCGTTGGCAGTGCCCGACCTGGGACCATGCAGGGAGGAACAGACACACCCCGATCCTGAGCACCAGGAGAGGGATCCTCACGTGCACCAGGACCTCACCAAGAGCCATTGTGGAGCCACTATGTGCAGTCATTGGTGACAGCAGAAGAAGGCAGGACAGGAAACGTCACCGTGTGTCCCTTGCCTCTGAGCTGGCTGGATGTTGCACTGCCCTTCAGTCTGTCCTCTGGCTGAGACCATCAGAGCAGCAACACTGAATGCAAAAATAGAAAGGACAGACGGCGCGGGGTTATGAGCAGACTATGGTGGAAGGGGGATAGAAGGGTGTTTGGTGAAATGGGTTAGTTCTTGCCTCATGACATGACTCTGTATACTGCAGTGCATTTGCCCTTCATTAATGCTGTGGCCACAGGGGATTGTGGGTGTGCAGAAGAACAACATTTGGCCATAGGTCCACACTCACTAACCCAGGTGCAGGGCACATTAGAGTCATTATACTGTCCTCCAATGTAGGAATTTGTACCAATATTTCCACTTATAAAACAATGTGATCTTGATGGCAAGTTGAATGCATTATGTTTGATAAATGGGTCTTGATTTATACATATGGACCTGGTATAAATATCGGTATATAGTTGTTTTCTTTTTCCAATGAATATTGAGTCACATTACTCAGGAGTGATATAAAAAGTATTCACATATACCATTATTGTTTCTCCTTGTGCATAGTATATGGCTCCATGTGACAGTTTACGACTTGCCCTATTCCTTCTGTGTGTGTCCCTTCATCTTGACCTATGAATACACAAGAGTCCAAGCGTTGATTTCTTTTGCAAATATTCGTGTCTACAAATGATACCTTATTTCCATAATCAATAGAATTGTGGTATTGATGTTTTTATTTGATTATACTCTTAAAAAGAAAAGCATTATCAAAACCTCTAACCATATAAAATGGAAGGAATCAAAGTAGCCAGGAGAGTGAGCATTGGACATGGAACCCCAAGTTCCTTCATAAATGTAAAGGAAATGGGAGAATCCTGAAAGGCGGGGAGGAAGGTAATATTGTCTTCTAGGGCAGGGTATCAAAGCCCCATTTTATAGGATTGCAAGGTCATCAGTTCCCAAGTGCAACAGTAAAACATCTATTTTTCATAAATAAAAGTATGCATACATGTCTTCGAAGAAAAACACAAAAAAATTATCTCAAAAAATGTATTGGCACCTATGTTGAGACATGAAGTCTTACCTACTTGGCCTATCAGACATCTGACCCCACCTGCTCTCATTTTTCTTACTTTATTGCTGACATTCTACAGAGACATGGGGCTGCTTTTTTTTTTTTACTTTAGGTTTTTAAACACACATACCTCCAAAGTTCATGGAATTTGGAATTTTATGTAGCATTTTTATTGTGCCAAATAGGGCCCTTAAAAACAGTTTAAGGTAAACAATCACTTCCCTTTCGAGAAAGAAAGAGAATTTGAACCATAACAGAATCCAAACACATGCTGTCAGAATCTAGGGTAGTTCCCCAGATTGAATACATTTGGCATCATAAAAAACAGCATGGGCAAAATTTAACAGGTAACTGACTAGTTGGAGGCTAACGGGTGCCGCTCTGGGAAGACTGCATTTAGCAAGTTGACTGGGATAAGCCGTGGACACCATCTAGGGACCTATAATCCTTGTGAGTTTACCTGTGGGTTAGAGGAAGCCGGCAGCATTTGTCATTTTGACATCTGCCGCTGCCTCCCTGTTGCCCGCACCTGGCAGTTCTGCCCCAGATCTGCCCCTTTGCCTTCAGTGGGCTTTCTCACTTTCTCTCCAGCTTTCACCACTATTAGATTTTCAAGGACCAAATTTCACAATGATGGTTTCACCTTGCTATTAATTTTCTAGGGATGCTGTAACAAAGTCACACAAAATAAGTCACATAATGGAAATGTTTGTCTGAAAATTCCAGAGGATGCAGTCTAAGATCATAGAGTCCGCAGGGGCATACATCCCTGCAGGCACTAAGGGGGGATCCAAGCCGGGCTTTCCTCCCAACTCACGTTGTCCCTTGATTGTGGCACCATAATTCCGGTCTTCACATGGATTCCAATCTCCCCATCTTCTCCTGTCCAAATGTGTCTATTTATTAAGATATCAGTCATATAGGATTAGGAGCTCTCCTTACTCCAGAATAATCTCATCCTAACCACTATAACTTCAACAGCCCTATTTCCAAAAAAAAGGTCAATTTCTGAAGCTAGTGGAAGCTACAACTCCAACACATGAATTTAGGGGACAATTCAACCTGGCACAATCTTTTTGGCTTAATTTAATGGCTAGTGAGTGGTGTTTAATTACTTAACATATTAGCCAAGGAAGAGAAATTGTGTATAACATATTTTAGTTTAGGAACTTTGGGCCAGAGTAAAAACCCTGGTACACCGAGAAAAAAAATCTAGTGTCTTAGATCTCTCCTTGTAAGTAACTACATTAGGCTCTTAATAAAATATGAGCAACTGAGTGGGTTACAAAAGAATTTAAAAAGACCACCTGTCCATTTATAAAACACATTTTCATGTGATAAACACGGGAAGTCTGTTAGATTAGCTGAGGAGTATAATGGAGGAGGTTTACACTGGGGAGGTAATAATGTTTGGTTGTGGTTGCCGTAAGAATCAATTACGTGTGTTTAGTCGGTCTGACGATGGCGGGCAAAATTAACCTAGGGGAAGTGGAACAAATCATGCAATGGTTTGTATGATTTCCTGAGAAAAATAGTTGAGCTCTAATTTCTGTAATTTGCCTCGTGTCCTCTTTTTTCTGACATCCTTCGGGTTTCTTTTGAGTAGTTGCAAAATATTAGTCATCAGATAATTTTTAGGGGCTTAATATCTACTCAAAGCGCATAGAGGATTTCAGATTAATAGTTTTGACGGCTTGGGGCGCAGATACATCCAACAGGTGGAATAAAACGGTAAACACTGGCAATTATGAGACAAAAGCAAAATAGGAACATTTTAAAAGAGTTAAAATTGAAAGTGGTCCAAAGAGGATGAGAATGGAATAGGAAAAGAGAAGATACATTAAGTCCAGTGGACATGGAAATCCATTGTCCAGCCATATGTCTTTATTCGAATGTCCTGAGTGCAAGCAATCTATATCAGGCATTATCTTTATTTATCTATTTTCTTTGCATGAGGACGTGTGAATTGATTGGCTTAGGTCCTGGAGTTTAAAACAATATCACGATTAAGAATATTCAGGCACATTTTTTTAACCATGACATTTTTTGGTGTCTCTTTCAATACTTTATTCGGTCTCACAGTAACATACAGCAGAGAATTGTGTCCAGTGATGCCTGCCCTTTTGGGAGGGAAACCTTATTCCTTGAAAGCAAAGGTGTACGCGGTCTCTAGCTTTCTGACGGCGCGACAAGATCAGAATGTACTACGGCAGTATCTGTCTCGGTAGCAGGCAGACCAAGAATTTGAGTCTTTTTGCAACAATTATACATAGCGAGCATTTACGAAGATCTTTCAAGTCTTGATTGTTTTTCTTCCTTAGAAGTTTAGACCAAGGATGATTTAGCTCTCTTGAAACATGGAGAGTTTGGCGTTTAAAGCACCATTAGCAGGTTTTTTTAATCCTCCCAGAACTATGGGTAATGATGCAGAACTTGGGTTCTATTTAACAAGATTATTTTGCATGCCTTTTAAAGTATTTTGTCCATAAAATGAGATTCATTTTTCTCTCTTGACAATATGAAAGATATTCTGCAGGTGAGAAAAACACACTGACAACATACGTAATTTTTTTTTT